CTACCTTACAAGATTAAAGTCCGTTTTGCCTCACATCACACTACTTTTTCAGGTTCTTCACTGCCCATTCAAGGCCCGCATGAAGACCCTCCCCGGTTTTGGCACTGCATTTTTGAATAGACCATGTACGATCGCGCAAGCTCTGAAGGTTCAAAGCAGTACTGACATCCTCGGGAGAAAGCGCAGTTGCGAGATCACACTTGTTGGCAAACACAAGAAAAGGGACTTCTCGCAGTTTTTCTTCCTGAAGAAGATTTTCAAGTTCCGACGCGGTCTCATCCAAGCGGCGCCTGTCAGCGGAGTCCACAACATATATTAGACAGTCCACCTCATCAAAATAGTTGGGCCAGTAGACACGGATCGCCTTTTGGCCACCGATATCCCACATATTAAGCTTAAATCCCTCGCAATTGATCGATTTGATATTAAATCCCTGCGTAGCTTGGGTGGTAGTTGGATCTTCATCTGAAAGTTTGCGAAGAATAGATGTCTTTCCAGCATTATCCAACCCAAGGATAAGAATACGTGGCTCCGTGTCGTTTCGCTTTAGCTTCCTCAACAAGGTAAGGAGACCCATTGCTGAAGTCAATAGCTCTTGTTTATTTTATTTTTTTTATTTCGCTTTTGTAAGCGTATTTGCGATTTTTCTTTTCTCGCTGTAACAACAAAAAAAAAAAAAAAAAACCCATAAAAAAAGAATCAGCAGGAAATAAAATGCAAAAAAAAAAAAAAAAATTTAATACCAAAAATAAGAAATTCACACCATAATAACAAAAACATTTTGTTTTTTTGTTCCTTTTTTTTACTCTTACCAGCAGGTATAGTTACACCGTATGCTGCGTTGGTAAGCGTCGATGGAATTAGGTAGAGTTTAAAAACTCCGCTCCTTAGGCAGCGTTGATAGTGGCTCCATCCCTTGCCCCCTAAATAAAAATTGATATACATTTTCATCATTCTATTCTTCGCCTCTTTTGCACATTTTCGTCACTTCTACGCACCAACAAGTATGAAGGCACATGCAAAACTGTTCTGTAACGACTAAAACTGAAGTTAAATTTATCTTCGTACCACGAACGAACAAATGTTGCATAATAGCATGGGCGAGGTGAACCTAGTCGGTTGCCCAAACCACGATGTAATAATCTGTAATCAAATAACAATGCCTTCCCAAAAGGAATAATTGGTGTTACCGGTTTTTTTTTCAGTGAAGATCTAGAATCCCATTCTATGCGATGTGATCCAGGAAATACCTCCGTACCATTATTTTTGTCAACAGGCACAAGAGGAATAAAAACATTTATGGCGTACGGAAACAAATTAACCACAGAACTCAAAGGAGGCCCATCTGTATGAATACTTTGCTTCGAACTCCCGGGAAGGGAATAAAAACAACCGGTTGACATCAACCTTTTCTTTACTCGCATCCCCCTCCTTGCGGAAGTCAGTAGCAAATCTAAAATATTCGATAGCTCGTTACAATTTCCTAGAATACTAAGTACCTCGTTTCCGATTTCGGTGGAAATCATTTCAAACCTGCCACTTCCCCTCTCTCTAAAATTGGAAAAGCCACTTTCAAGTGTAGGAACCTTGGTAGAAAACTCCACTTTTGCCTCATAGGCATGCATAAAGGATTTAAAATAGTGATCCGCATTGGCTCGATATTTTTCCAGTGTCTCTGAAAGAAGCTTTTTTTCTTTGGCACGAGTAGCCAGTGAAATCACGCAATAGCCATCACGAAGAAACTTTGTGGCTACTGGATTTTGTTGAACCCTTAAAGAATGAGGCATTCTCAAAATTCCACTCAGGCAGCAAACACAAGACGTTGCCTCATCCTTATTAATCCCAGTCTCAGCCAAGTAACATCTTCGATGAAAAGTCAAATTACATATCCTACAGCGAATCGCATTTTGAGCGGTTCGATTGTTAAACTCTAACCCACAACGCCAACAATGAGTTAAACGTGATTCATTTGAATGTGCCTTCACCATTTAAACTGATCTGACTAAATCTTAGTTCAAAAAAGATCATTAAAATAAAAAACAATAAAAATTTAACAACCTAATATATATATATATATATATTAGAAAGCAAATCCACATGACTCTGCAAACAAATTTTATTATTATTACTATTATTTATCCTATTATTAATATAGTTATTGTTATTATTTTTACTATTATTATTAATAATATTATTATCATATTATTGTTTATCCTATTATTAATATTATTAACGTCATTATAGTATTATCATATTATCATTATATTATATTATTATATTATTATGTTATTATTATATTATATTATATTATTATTGTTATTATATTATATTATATTATATTATTGTTATTATATTATATTATATTATTATTATTATATTATTATTATTAAAATCAAAGAACAACAAAACGAGAAGGAATGAAAAAAAATTCCGCATATTCTCCTCATTCCTGTAGAGAAGCTGTCGCAAAAACAACGTGTGGTGCCATTTGTGGTGCCTTTTTTTTTTTTTTTTTTTTTTAGATGGCAAACCAAAAAAATATATCAGCTCCTTCCTCGGCAAGCTTTTTCAGCTATGGTTCTTGAAGTTTTATTTTGGCAAACACCGGGCAGAACATATATATATATATAGTAAAATAATATGAATAACATAAATAATATTAATAGTAATAATAATGATATAATAATATAATAATAATAATATGAGTAATAGTAAAAATGATAATATAAGAATAATAATAATAATAATAATAATAATAATAACAATAATAATAATAATAATAATATTAATATTAATAATAATATTAATAATAATATTAATAATAATAATATTAATAATAATAATAATAATAATAATAATAATAATAATAATATAGTATGATATAATAATAATAATAATAATAACAATAATAATAATAATAATAATAATAATAATAATAACAATAATAATAATAATAATAATAATAATAATAATAATAATAATAATAATGGTAATATTAATAATAATAGTAGCATAGTAATAATAATAATATAATATAATAATAAGAGTTATATTAATAATAACAATTATAATATTATTAATAATAAAAGACTGAACGACCAAATATGCTGGTGTATTTCCCAATAGCAAGTTTTTTCACACAGTATGCAGAATCGCGCTTTCCGGCGGCCAGATGCTTTTCAGCCTTCTTCATGCGATGAATTCTTGCAGCCAGAAATCCACGCCATCTTTTAAATAAATTCCTTCCCTGAGCAATCAGCTTACCCTTGAGAGATCAATCAAAATTCCGGAGACATTTGATATACTAATCACCCCCAACTCGCTCTGAGAGTAAGTATCTTCTTGCATACAGCAAAATTCTCTTAATAATTTACTTTTATTAAAGCAAAAAATTGCTGATCGAATGGCTTTTAGGCATCCCAATGATACGCAAAAACAAAATTGTTAATCGTAAGTTCAATCTTTCCCAAAAACATTTCACCAGACCCCATGCGGCACCTTTTTATATATTCTCAATGGAATCAATGTTAATAAAATGTGTGCGATACGCACTCTATCCACCTCCTTCTTTAAATTGAATTCTGCATCCTAGCGGAAAATTCATCTCAGCGAACCACAATCATTGTACACTCTTGGCTATCGCGTTCGTTTGTTTTTTTCAACCTCAAAAGCAATAATCAAATTCTTTCTCTTGCGCAAGCAAATGTAAATTTTATTTATTGTCATAGCTGAAAAACATTTCCCAAAAGTAAAAAAAGTATTAAATAATATGTATTTTATAGGTTAATAAAAAAACAAAAAGCACCATATCAATATAAATCAAAAAAGGCAAGGAGTCCAATAAATCACTCAAAATAAGATGAAAAACAATCACAACAAATAACAAACAAAAGTAAGCACAGTAGAAAAAAAAAAAAAAGAGAAGAATATTCGTCTAAGCCGCTGGTCCAAACCCTGAACTTATCGGAAAAAATCGAAAAAAAATGGGGAGAAGGGGGTAAACGGAGAGGCGATGGCTTCCTCTCATTGTTTGCTCCAAGTCTTTTTATATAATAGACAGATTGCCATTATCGTGGCATGTGATACTTAGTTGGCAACAATATTTATAGTACCAATTGGCAGACTTTGGGCTCCTCCAACCACAAGACCCCGCCGCGAGGTGGGAATCAAAAGGGGGTGGGTGGGATGGCAAAATAAAAATAAAAATAAAAACAAAATAATTAAATTCGTTTGGCCGTTATTATTTCCCTGATTCCTAGAATCGCGGTCAACCAAACAATCATAAACTAGGGGGGAAAAGATCGTAGAGAGTTCTCTTTACCAGGTTAAATATCAAATTAGATAACCCGCTTGCCCACGAACGTTGTCTTCCCAAGCTCCCGGAATATTGACATGAGCCGCCGCTGGCCGGATCCTGAAATTATCTCAAGAAAACAAAAAAGATAGGAGGGAAAAAAGGAACCAAAGCAGAGGCGGCCAATTGCCAAAACACTCTCTTCTCATCAAATACATCTATATCTATATCTATATGTATATGACCATTCGCTTAGCCTTTATCCTCGATTGGGATCTGCGATATGATTGCTCACGAAGTGGCGGGCTTTGGGTCCTCCAGCCACAAGACCCCGCCGCCTCCCTTCGCCAGGTCCTGGCGCGTGAAAACGCGACCGCGTGATATGCCGTGTGCGGGATTTTCTGCAGACCACACGCGGGCGAGGCTTTCTCGTATCCGGTGGGAGCCAGAAGGTTTGGAGACCCTCCGCGGCTCCCGCGCCCGGGTGCGTGGTTTTGGGCTGCCTCAATCCGCCGCTCCTTGCAGCGGCGAAGCGTTACCCACCCAAACGTCCATGGTGGGTGTCAAGATGGCGGAAAAGGCCGACAAGGCCGAGTGTGCCACGCGCGCCGCGGCCGGCATGATAAGAAAAGGCTTCCTCTTCCGTTTTCCCTTCGGCAGTTTTGACGTCGACGGAGTCTGGGACGAAACCGGCTCCCCATCCATGGAGCGACGCGACCGTGATGGCGGCGCATGCCTTTTCGGCGGGGTTGACGATCCGCCTAAAATTGCTCTCGATGTTGTGTCGCAGTCTCTCGCCCGAACCAGCCGCTGCCGGCGGAAGGTTCGCCGGGGATGTCTCCAGCACAATTCCCCGGTCAACTGCGGACAACCGTCGCCCTGCCTTAATAAAAGCAGTGGTAGTCGCATAAACGCGCGCCAAAATGGCCGCCGCGTACAAAAAGCGTGACGCCACAACCTCCATTTCCGCGATCGTTAAAGCATTGAGCGCCGGCATGGCGCACACAGACCAGACAAACTTGTCACTCAGAGATACCGCCTGGAGTGGGTGATCCAACTGCGCCCCCAGAAAGGTGTACTGCGTGGCGCCCGATTCGCCGTCCTTCACTACCGTGGTGTGACAGCTGTCCGCATTACGAAGCACTTGGGCCTCCCACAATGTTGCACCGCTTTTCGACCCTGCAATGCGTATGTTACCGATCCAAACGTCGACGCGCAGCGATGGAGGTGCGGCCCGGAGGCGGCGAACCACCGTCGTCACCCCGGCGATTGCCGAAGTAATAATCTGGAGAATTTCTGGGCTGGCCTTGCGTCCCATAGGGGGCCGTGTCAGCTCCACCAGCGTGCCGTCCTCCACGCGGCATCGGAAGAGATGCCAAGTCTCCCGCGGTAAAAAGAATTGAAAAAAGGACGCCTTTAGATCCAGGCAGAAAGTGGCCTCAGCCACCACAGGCGGCAAATAATGGGAAATGTGTGAAAGAGGAACATTAGCCTCATAAGGGTCGTTTCTGTTCGTGTCGCGTGGCCACGCGGTCCATCGTCGTCGTAAACCGGTGGTTTTCTCCTCCACAGCCGAAAATGGTATTATCCATCCGCCACCAGTTGTAGACGAGGCGTCCTCGATTATTCCCGCTTCCTTCAACAATCGCGCGTCAGCGACCGGAATCCTCCGTGTGCGTTCGCGCGCCTTACCGGGGGAGGACGGAGAGAAAGGGGACCGCCCGACAAGCCCCCACGCTTGCATGAGTCTCCCAAAGGTAGCCGGGTTCAACCGGCCCTTGGTCCACTCCAGATTCAATACGGACACGTTGACCTGCCGTAGCGGGATGGTTAGTTCATCTTGTTGAGTGGCCGTTCGCGCGTTTGTCGCGCGTCTCGTGAATGCGGCGGTGCGATGATAAAAATAATTAAAAAAGGCCCTCTGCTCTCATCCAGGGTTACTGCCCTTCCGCGGTCTCTTCCTTTACACCAACGCGGCCAGCGACGACACCTGGGTCAGCATTGTTCTGCACCTCCCCAAATATCGCACTTTTTTCTGGTGAAGGTCGAACGGGTCGACACGCTCCGCCACCTGTGGAATCGCTTGTGGGTCCGAACCGTGCGTCTCCGCGATTGAAGCGGCGCGCCGCAACGCGCCCCGTTTTGCGGAACGCGCCGTGGCATTCCAAGGAGCCATGGCCCGCTCCACGTGGCCCGTCGCAAGGCTCGTGGGCTTTCGTTGCGTCAAAGCATGCCGCATAACTTTATAATGCCGAAGGCGCCCCGCCCTTGTGCCCTTAAGAAGCGCGAGGCGTGGCGGGGGGGGTTCCGCCTTCGCCGTCTTTGGCGCCACGGAAAATCCAAAGTTATGGCCCCACCCGGCCGCAGTGTGAAATTCTGAAAGTCAAGGCCGCAATCTCGGACCAACGACTCGCCGTCATCCGCGCAAGTCGGAAAACAACGCGTTCCTTCGAATCGCTCCGGCCGTGGATAAATTGATCCGCCCCTTCCTTTGTAAAGGGGTGTGCCTGTTTCGTCTCCGATCGGGCCGCGGTTTTTTCCAGCCCCAGAATCGCCCCGCCCAGCGGGGTTCGATCCGCTTGCGACATTGGCCGCAGCATCCCGGCGCACCGCCGTCGGGTATAAGGCGCCTCCGCCGCCGCCATCGAAAAGGCCACGCGGCTCCCCTCGCTGGTCGACTTTTCGTGTGTGCGGCAAAAGGTTGCGGGCTGCCCCGCCAGGGTCGTTCTCCGCCCCCACGTCGGCGGCGCCCGCGTCTCTCGAGCCACATCGTTCGCCCCCCACATGCCTGGCCCAGGGCGGGGATGCCGGCGGCTCGTCGCGCCGCAGTCGAGCGTCTTTGGCGGGGGAGCTCGGTCGACCTCCTCGCCGATTGCGCGGGGCAATTTGAACTTCGGAAGGGGGTTGGCGGAGCGGCGTGGCGACTTTTGTGGGGATTTTTTCGTGGTGAAGTTCCTTGTGTTTTTTCTGCTCTTAACAGCCCATCCCGCTACAATGCCATCTGAGTGCCGAAGAGGTGGTCGAGTAACGACAAAAGTTTCCTGCTATGAGGCAACTGCCATTGAGAGAACTTTCCAAGGCGAAGGTCCTGTTCAATGCTCAGCCGTTGGCGCACAGCCAAGGTGCCTGGACATTCTAGAAGCAGATGGTGCAAGGTTTCCTGCGGGCCAATTGGCGTGCTTGTGGAAGCTGGCTGATCCTGCGGCAGCAGTGATCGCCTCCTGGCACTGCTGTTTAGATGCCGTGTGGCGTCTGGGTTGTGTGCGCGGCGACTTCTGTGCTGTGCGGTGCTTCTACGTGTGGGGAAAACCATATCACAGAAATCAAATTTGAGCTCGGGAAGCGGTGGAGGATGTTTCGGGTGAAATGACCGACAGTGACTAACGAGATTCGAGAATCCCGTCAATGTGGAATCACAGTACGGACATTTCTCCTTCCGACGACGTGTGATGGTCCGTCTCCTTACTGGAGAGACGTCTTCGTCCCTTTCCGGCAGGGAAACAGTGTCCGTCCCCGGTGCAGTTGGATCGTTGTTAGAGCGCATATATGCAGACTGTTCCGGTGAGATGTTGCAGAAACGGCATTGGTTTGTGCAATCTCTCACAGCCCAGTACGGGCGACCACGGAGCTCACATTCCCCGTATCCTGCTCGTGCAAGGTGAATCCGTTCCTGTCAGTCAAAAAATTCCTGAGTGATCAGGTGCTCGCCGCCTGGATCTG